CATTACAAAAGAAAATAAGATGCTTAATAAAGCATTAGTAGTTATGAAGGAAGACAGTAAAACAGAAATATCAGAATTCAAGATTGAGATGGCAGACAGTAGGAGTAGGCAGGACAGGAAACCTTGGGATTAAAAGAAAAGAAAAAAGACAAAATGAACCATTGCAGAAATGAAGACTAAATGAGAAGGAGCCACGGTAGGTATCTATGGGAAAAGAAATGAAAAACAAACAAGCAAAAAGTCATATTATAGACACATACAATGTTTGGGAGACAATTCCCAAAGAAGAAAGCCAAGCAATGGAACAGAGCAAATATTTAAAAATACAATTAAGAAATGTTCCTGAAGTACAATAAATCTAGAATCAATATTGAAAGAGCATACCAGGGAAAACTGAACGAGAACAATCATCACGGAGAGGAACTCCAGAAATATCATTGTTCTTTAAAGATAAAGAAAGCCAACCAGCCATAAAGACCAAGTCACGTATTTGGAATTCCACCGAATTAGAAATCAGGCTTCTAAGGACGCGTCAACCTTCTGTGCCAGAAGGCAGTGAAGTTTTATTTAGAATACACGCTATAAATTTCAAACCCAGTTGAAAGTGTAGTTATAAAGGCTACATACAGACCAACATTACCAGACTTTTAAGAATTCAGAATATGGTTCACATGAACCCTTCCTTCCTTTTTTTTTTTTTGAGCCCTTCTTTTTAAATTTTTATTTTAGCTTTTTTAAAAACAGAAAATGCCATACACAAAAATAGAACACCATGAACCCTCATGGACACATTGAAATAACCCAAGGGGCGGAACTATAACAATTCTCAACTCAGATCCCTGATGTCTTCTCAGTTCATCTGAAAATACCTCCTTCTTCAGAAAACTTCTAGAGGACTAACTCCAATCAACCCAGAGACAGCAGAACATATTTCAGCAGAAGGAATGGCAGAGAGCTCCTAATATCTTCATCTGCAGATCTAAGACAAAACAAAGGTGTGAAGGAATGGAATGCAAATACTATGCGTTTTCGTAAAGTAGAAATGAGAATTAACAGCAACCAAATTAAAAAAAAGGAGAAAGAGAGAGAAAGTGGAAAGTAGAAAACTCTGCCCTTTCCCATCTGCGATTTGATGGGAATCAGTACTAAGAAGCTGAGGGGAACCAAAATGTGATGTTAGTGACTTTGTGTTTGGCTAGTTGAGGACTGGGATTTGTAGAATTAGGAACTATCTGGGGAATTGCCAGTGGAAGAATTAATCTTTGGAGACTTGACCAAATCTAACAGGTGCAGTGGCTACAGCCTTCTTCCCCTCAGCCCATCTGGGCTCAACTAGCTTCATGAACCTCGTGGAGACGGGCCTGGACTCCTAGAGACTCCCAGGGCTCCCCAGACCATGCCCACCTTGTCCCAGACATGGGGCCAAAGACAAATCCAACCTGGCCCTGCCCCCCAGGGCTCAGTGTTGAGGGGGACAGAAGCACGCAGAAACAGGCATTTGCCTGGTGCATGGGAGGACCAGCTGCACGGAGGCAGGGGGTTGTGGAAGACGCTACACTGAAGAGATGGCACCACGGTGAGACAAGAAGGGCACAGCCATTCAAGGAATAACAGCATTCACATTAGAATGGCTAAAGATTCAACCCCGAGTAGGCCTTGAGGTTCAAGATGGTGGGAGATTTGACTTCTAGTAGACCTTGAGCTTCATTATATGCCTATTGTAATATATTAACATGGTGAATAACATGCCCACAGGCGCCATGACAGTCCCAAGGCTAGCCACAAAAGATCAAAGAGTGGGAAATGGCCAACTTCCTGGGAATCCCAGCCCCTTCCCCAGGCTAGTTAGACTGGTCCTTCCACTTATTAGCAT